TGGTTAGTTTGACCCAGGATCACTGATAATGTTAGCCAAGAAAAGAAGGCAACTTAAAAAAAAGACAGAGAATAGGAACTGAACCTCTACCTTTACCTCTGGTTGAAAAATTAGTGTACACATAACATCACATTACAATACAGAATTCAGCACGTGCTGGACTAGTCTTGGATGTGTGTGTGTACTCCAATGTATGTGCCCCACATTACATCCCTTAAAAGCAAATATTTTATATAACATTGCTAAACATAATACTGCCTAAAATTAATTTATAACACCACAATAACACCATTTTAAAACATGGTAAACACAAAAACCAGTTAACTGTATTCAAAGAAAAATAGTCAGTTATCTCTTGAAATAACAAAAGTGCGGCCCTTTACAATTATGGCATATGGCTGCGAGGCTGATCAGAGAGTGTCTTCGGTTTAATAACACAGATTAAATAGTGTAATACCAGGGGAAACAAGAGATGGATCGAATCCATCAAGTCAGGATTGAAATGGGAGTATAAGCACTGAACACAGCAAATACACTAATAGAAAATGGCCGTTTTTAACAGGGTTCAGCGTCTATTCCATGACCTTACATAATCCGAATAATATCTCCTGATTGAACCAAATAAATGAAACACAGAAACTGCCAGCCACCCGCTCTTCTCCCTTATACTGAATTTCCAGCAGTGTGTTTTGATCAGGGCCCATGTGGTTAATAACATTAATAATTTATTAACCTTAATTACTTCTTGTATGGATATGTCCCTGGTGATTAATAAGGATAACAGTTTAATCCATTATGCAGCATGAACACAATTGATTAAATATACATTTTAAGTTCCACGCTATATATTCATCTTCGCTTTATAAACAAGGTTGATGCACTATGAGCTTATCCTTTCAGTTTCATTCAGACTTAATGCAATCACAAAAAAAATGTGTTTTTATTATGAACGGCAGTACATTGTATCTTTTGCATTACCGGTATATGCCTCTTCCCCCCTCCAAACAAACAAACAAACAAACAAACAAACAAACAAAAAACAGGTTTGTTCTAAAAAGTAGAGCTAGAGGTTAGGGCAATCCCTGTTTACTTAATAGATTTTATACAATTCCTCTATTTTTCTTATTGTAGCAACAATATCCAGTAAAGCAAAGCTAGATGATTAGAACTGTAAGATTATATTGTTTCGAATTACAATTAAATTTACCATAGAAAACAAAATACTTGTCTCATAATACTAGTAAACTCCCCATAGACAGCAATGTACGGGTCTCATTAAACTCCTATACTACTGTTATACTCCCCCATAGATGACAATATAAAAAATAGAAAAGCAAAGCTATATTTTACACAGGGCTGAGTACTCAAAAGTGGAGATCAGTTTATTAGTATATTGAAGTATATGTATTTTGTGTTAAAATATTACATATTTTACACAGGCAGTTAATGCCACATGGGACCCATATTAAACTTGCCCAAAAATTCCAATCAATTTTAATATTTACCCCCTGAAGCTTAATTCTGGCAATGATGAAAAAGTTGACTCCAGCTGACTGTATATGTATCACAAGGTATTTTAAAAAACTAACTGATTATCTACTTTTTTTATTTTGGTATGTGTATTCAAGAAAAACTTGAACTGAAAGTTGGCAACATAATGTATTACCAGAATCTTGACCACTATTTTAAGGATAATAATCCTAAAAGTGAAAAGTGTTTCAATGATATTTATCACCACCCCAGACTTAATACTACTTCAAAAGTTACGAGATACAGTTCTGAGAAAAATCCTTGATGTCCAAATCAACCTGCAGATCAGGTAATTATTTACACCGTACAGACATGTTTGTTTTCAAGTTTTATTACAAGGATACGCTTTAATATTGCCTGGCAGTGAAGCGGTTTTACAATGAAAACTAGATCTTTATCTTCTATCATTGCAAAGGGAAAGATTCTGCGAGTGGGGGAAAGCTACAGCTAATGGACAGTAAACTTTTAATTAGTCCCTTGCTAATGAAACCGTAAACAATTTAAATTTATGTGAAATCCAGTTTCTTTTCCTACGTTCCCCATGGGATGAGATAACCGTGCAGTCAAATGAACTCACATTAAAGGAATGCATAATAGTATTTAGGGAAATTACCGAGTAGATTACAAGCAATTAAATACGGTATGTGGGCTCCCAAGTTCTCATGAACATCAAAAAAAAACGTTTGATGTTCAAAGCTTAATCATACATCAATAATAATAAAAGTTTAGAATTCAGTCATGACTTTCTAGTATGTGACCTTCCGAGATAAGTCACGATGCATCAAAACAAATTCACCGCAAAGCAAATTTAAAGGCTATTGAATTTCAAACCTATAAAATCACCAGGCATATATCCTAGACAATTCTCCATTAGCCTATGGGTGATATTGAACCTAAAAATGCTGGATTTCATCAGGTTCTCGGTTTAATAGTTCATGAAATAGTGTTTTAGGGTCTGTATCATGGTGGGAAGTGTTTCCTATCTCCCGAAAGCCTCACAGAAAACACAACAAATTTTAGTCCGAGTATATGACTCAAGTAGATGTATGTGAGTTGGCAGATTTCAAGTTTCTGATCTGTGTGAATGAAATACAATAGTTTATTTATGGCACAGTCTTTGTCCACTATGATGGGTCATTAGAACATGTGGAGGAACACGAGTATGGAAATATCTCGAAAGAGGATGTTGAGTAATTCAACAAAACTCATAATCACTCTAACTTTTTCACCACCAGACTTTCTGGGCCAAATTTATTGTATTTTTTTCTTATTTTTTTTCCTGGGAATGAACCTTAATTTTGGAGCCAATAAAAAAAATTTAGTAAATTTTCAGTTTTTACTCAAAAAAGTTGGTTATTTTTCGTAAATCTTCTGAAGGAAAGTTTACTATAAACGGGACAATTTTATGAATTTGTGATGAAAAGAGGGAACTGGTGGTGAAAAGGCTAAATGCATACAACTAATATCAGTATAATGACATTGATAATGATGATGACGATGATTGTAATTACCGGTATGATAATGACAGTGACGATGATGACATTAAAGATTGGATTGCTTTGCTGTACTTATTTGATAGGACTGTTTTGTTGATGAATAAATCAGTACTTCTCTTTGCTCTCATGGAGTAGTAGAAGATAGGGAAATGAAAGTAAAAGGAATTACGATTTATGCTGGAGGAAAGGTTTCAATCATCTTGGACAGTTCTCTTGTTTTCTTCAAACTCACGTACCTTGCTTTCTAGCATTTGAATTTTTTCTTCTTGATAAGCAACAACATTGGTCAACTGAGAAAAAGAGGAAGAAAACAGTTAGTTTTTATTACTTTTACAAATCATAATAGCCCATAACTGTAACAGTTTCGTAACAGAAATAAATAATGTGTGATTAATGTACTGGAAACCAAAGTGAATCATTGTTTGAATATCCTTGTTACTGATTTTGAACGTACAAGAACCAAGTTTATAAGATAATAAAAGTTGGACTAAAAAATGCATGTCAATTCAAATGAGCTGGCACACAATATCAGGGTAATTCACAAATCATCGAGAGTAGAATTTGTGTGTGATGAAATTAATGCCTTTATTTTCAAAAATTCTGCTTTCTTATCTGATGCAGTTTCACTGATTGTATATCAAAAGTAGCCTGGGGAGACTCTATCGATACCTTTTCATTCTCTTCTTGTAGCTTCCGCACCTTACTCCTCAAGAAATCGATCTCGTGGTGCGTAATCTCGTTTATGGATTCGACAGATGATCCAGTGCTTATCAAACTTCCTAAATCCAGAGGTGGCACAGGCATTCCCCGTGAAAAGATTGCATGACTGTCAGTTTGAGCATCATTACCGCATGCTCTGTAACTATCGACACTACGATTACAATCAGTTGAGTTCGGCTCCCAGTCATCTTCACTCATTACTGGGTCGTCACTGACATGTTTACTATTATTGGTTGCTGATCTTCGGTTATTGTCCTGGTTATCAGTTGTTGGTTCATGGCCACTGAGGCTCAGTTGGGAAACACCATTAGCAATCTCTTGGCTGCTGCTCATGTTTGATGATTTATTTAAGTTTTCGTTTTTCAGTGGAATATACTCAGCATCATTCAGCTCCTGTTGAAACCAAGATGTTTGAAAAATTGAATTCATTGAGCCGAACAATGATCAAATGCTAGCTGTATTAGCATGTGCTACAAATGTACATAACTACAAGATATTTGAATCAAAGAAAGAAAGAGCTCCTGTGTGCTGAGAGTATTGAAACATATTAAAAATAATTCTAAATTCAAGATTAATCTTTCAAACAAGAAGCTTGGCAACTAATATCTGTCTGCTATTTGCGATGCACAATAATTAAATAATCAATATGCATGTTTTTCAACATTAAACTAATTACTAATGCGGATTACCCCGAGAGCATCTATGAACCAAATCTCAGAGAAATGTGATGATTATGCACATTATTCAAATTTAGACAATTAGTATGCATAGATTTCAAACCAAAACTAATTAGTCTGTGTATTGTTACAGGGTACAATGTACAGTACTCATTCCGCCCAACCTCCCGCTTTTATCGCTTTTTTTTCGACCGCTTACCGCTTAATTTCCGACCGCTCGCTGCTTTCTGACCGGAAACCGACCGCTTTTTTTCCGCTCGCTCGCATTCGCTTTTGTTCGCTCGCTCGCTTGCTTTTGTTCGCTCGCTCGCTCGCTTTTGTTCGCTCGCTCG